TGTTCAAAATGAACGAGTAGGCTACATCATGAATCCATTTTCCAAACCGTGTTTTTGACTTATTCTAAATCACTACGGTACGCCTATAATAAGTGTTTATATTTGGACTATTTTATCCCGGGGTCGTCTCGGCTGCGGAGCAGCCCGTGCCTGCGTGACTCGCCATAGACATTAACGGAGAGAAGTTCCGTCTACAATGTTCTTCCGCAAGACACGTGCAGTTTATTTATTGACGAACGTAGACGTCACGCGCATTGCACACTGATGGTGAAACGCGCCAATTACGAATTCACGAATTAAGGCATTTAAAATGATAAAAATGGTCTCACGAATCACAGAGCCCCTTCCTCCTACGTCTTTTCAGCGGTTATATTTTCCTCTGTCGAGCGATTACTCATGATCGCTCGACAGAGGAAAAGGAAATTATTATAAAATGCAGAAGGTAAGGAGTGTGAGATTTCTGCTTTTTGTTACAACTATAAACTATTGATAACGAAAAATCTGTATCAGTTTATTATAATACTCTAATCTTTTAAAATGTAATGCATACATTTGAATGTTTAATGATTTTTAAAAGATAGAAAGATGATAATAGACAGATAGATAGATGGATAGATAGATAGATAGATAGATAGATAGATAGATAGATAGATAGATAGATAGATAGATAGATAGATAGAATATGATTCAAATGTAAATAGATAGATTGTATATAATTCAAATGTAAAATGCTTAAAATTACAGATTAAAATTACTGTCCAAAATCCATGAAAATCCTGAAATTTGGCAATGATAATTAATATATTACAGGTATTTCTGCTGCAACCCAGAAAGCCTTTGCTAGCCTTGGTCCATTAAAACCACTATTCATCAGCATGCATTGATTAATCCTAAGGGTGCTCCGATTGATCGGTCGCCGATCATGATCGGCCGATAATTGCTTTGGGATGTGTGATCGGCGGTCTCTATAAAGGCCGATCCAGAAAAGCCGATCAGATGACGCAAAACTCGCGGGACAATTTTTTTACGCCCTGGTAAAAATGGCTTCACCGGTCTGGCAATTCTACAACAGGGCTCTCAAGTGTCAAGCATTGAGCGTGACAGTCACTCATTTCGGTCTTTTGTCACGCTTTCCCGCCACACATTGTATTTCTCACGCTGAAAAACTATTTGTAATATATTGAATATGCTGCAGCGGCCAAAACTCTGGCCGCGCCGCTCTCACTGTGGAACCGGCATGAATCAAGCGCGTTTCCTCTGGTGTTGTTCGTCGAGCTACACAATAGCCAATCAGAAAATAGCACTATTGTATCTGGGTAAGATTTAACGCAACAACCAATGACAAAAATGTATCCAAACCCCCACCCCCCATCGCCCACCCCGCGTGCGTCCGTCAAATCACTCGTACATATTTTTCTCTCTCATCAAAACTGAATATGTTCATCAGCGGTTACAGTTATATCAAGCAAGGATACGTTTGTGTTTTATTTTGTGATTACACCGGAATGAATAGAGTCCGCAACGGCGATAGTTTGAAGCGCGCGTCCGAGTGAAGACTGCACAGAGCGAGGCACAGAGCACTGTATCCATGCAACTGATCGCCGCGGCAACGAGCGCGCAGCTTGAGTTCAAAAACACATTTTAGCGCTAGATTTCTTATTTAATAGCGAACTAAATGAATGATCTGCTAGTTAACTGAAGATGTTTTATTTATTTATATTAGGTACATTGTGGGACAGACTTCACTGGATCTAAAAAAAAATCAATCTAACCATAGTGACCAGTAGTGGTGGCTTTCTTAATATGTTTAAAATAATTTTGCAAGGGTTCTTCACACACACACACACACACACACAAAAAGGTTTCTCTACCTCTCTCTTCCTCTCTAAATGCCCACAAAATCTGACTAAGCATCCCAGAAAAAAGCAAAGTTATAGATACAGATATGGAAGTTGTTCGTTTTTTTTTTTTTTTTTTTTTTTTTGCTGTGCACTTTACTACCGGTGGTCCTTTAAGTGTATTAGAAAAACTGATGGCTGACTGACTCAAAACATTATTTTGGCTATAGCCTTTTTTGTTGCTGTTTTTAGTTTAAAGTAGTCTAAAGCTAAATTTAAAGACTCTGTCTTTAAAGATGTTCTGTCTTTTATTTATTTTATTTTACATTCTACAGGAAAGTTGTATGTCAAGCCCTAAGCTGCTCCCAATAACCAAGCTGCTATGTTAATACATGTTGCTTGCAAATAAATACACAGGTGTCAATTCATTATGCATTGTCTTCTCTTAAATGTAATACTTAATGTAGGCTACATTGTTGTTAAATATAGTTTAATAAGTAATGCTACATGATAAAAAGAAGTCTTCAAATAGACCCTGTAATCGGTGATCGGTATCGGTATCGGGTGATACAGCTTCCAGTAATCGGCGATCGGTGATCGCCCCCAAAAATCCTGATCGGAGCACCCCTAATTAATCCCATGGCATGTAGCAAAAAAGAAAAAAAAAAGGTGCGACCAAATCATATGCTGGTGCGACCAACTGAGAAAGTTGGTAGCACCAGTGCAACCAGTGGAAAAGTTAGTCTGGAGCCCTGTTCCTGGAGTCTCCCGCATATTGATAGCGGCTCCCTGATGCCCGCAAATTAGTTAAAATCTCCCGGAATCTAGAGCGAGCGAGCAAGAGCGAGCAAGAGCGCATGCGAGACAGAAAAAACTGTGCTCCAAACCGTATAGCGCGCGCACCAGAGAGAGCGAGAGATCTTGCGTATGTGCCTCATGAAGCGCATGTAAGACAGAGAGCATCCTGATTGGCCGGTTTCGGCTTTAAAAAAATAAATGTAAAAATCGAGAATCGAATCGAACCGTGACCTTAGAATCGAAAATTTTATCGAATCGAGGATTTGGAGAATCGTGACACCCCTAAGCAGGGGTATTCAATTAAAGTTACAAGAGGTCCGGTCTCTATATTTCCTTTCCAGCGGAGGTCAGGACAATACTTTTTTGGAACAGTTATACATTTCCATCAAGGCAGCCGTAGTACTTTGTAAAAAAAGACTAAAAAAACTGAACACTCAAAATAGACAAAGATGAGAATATTGGGCCCATAGAGCCAAAACAGTGATGTCTAAGATGTCTAAGTAAATGTATTACTACCTCTTAAGAAAAGTATGGACCATTTTTACATTTTGCTCAAAGCAATAAACACTAAAAACAAACAATGTACATACACTCACCTAAAGGATTATTAGGAACACCATACTAATACTGTGTTTGACCCCCTATCGCCTTCAGAACTGCCTTAATTCTACATGGCATTGATTCAACAAGATGCTGAAAGCATTCTTTTGAAATGTTGGCCCATATTGATAGGATAGCATCTTGCAGTTGATGGAGATTTGTGGGATGCACATCCAGGGCACGAAGCTCCCGTTCCACCACATCCCAAAATGCTCTATTGGGTTGAGATCTGGTGACTGTGGGGGCCATTTTAGTACAGTGAACTCATTGTCATGTTCAAGAAACCAATTTGAAATGATTCGAGCTTTGTGACATGGTGCATTATCCTGCTGGAAGTAGCCATCAGAGGATGGGTACATGGTGGCCATAAAGGGATGGACATGGTCAGAAACAATGCCCAGGTAGGCCGTGGCATTTAAACGATGCCCAATTGGCACTAAGGGGCCTAAAGTGAGCCAAGAAAACATCCCCCTCACCATTACACCACCACCACCAGCCTGCACAGTGGTAACAAGGCATGATGGATCCATGTTCTCATTCCGTTTACGCCAAATTTTGACTCTACCATCTGAATGTCTCAACAGAAATCGAGACTCATCAGACCAGGCAACATTTTTCCAGTCTTCAACTGACCAATTTTGGTGAGCTCTTGCAAATTGTAGCCTCTTTTTCCAATTTGTAGTGGAGATGAGTGGTACCCGGTGGGGTCTTCTGCTGTTGTAGCCCATCCGCCTCAAGGTTGTGCATGTTGTGGCTTCACAAATGCTTTGCTGCATACCTCGGTTGTAACGAGTGGTTATTTCAGTCGAAGTTTCTTTTCTATCAGCTTGAATCAGTCCGCCCATTCTCCTCTGACGTCTAGCATCAACAAGGCATTTTCGCCCACAGGACTGCCGCATACTGGATGTTTTTCCCTTTTCACACCATTCTTTGTAAACCCTAGAAATGGTTTTGCGTGAAAATCCCAGTAACTAAGCAGATTGTGAAATACTCAGATCGGCCCGTCTGGCACCAACAACCATGCCATGCTCAAAATAGCTTAAATCACCTTTCTTTTCCATTCTGACATTCAGTTTGGAGTTCAGGAGATTGTCTTGACCAGGACCACACCCCTAAATGCATTGAAGCAACTGCCATGTGATTGGTTGATTAGATAATTGCATTAATGAGAAATTGAACAGGTGTTCCTAATAATCCTTTAGGTGAGTGTATTCTAATAATCTTAACTCTCATCATGAGAACAAAAAGTATTTAAATGTTTTTTGTCTTTCCTTGCCATCTCTAAATAGTTTTCCAAATTCTAACATTGTTTATTATGAAATGCTCTTCATATGCTGGAAAGGCATAGACTTTTGGCTCTAGAAAAAAATATTATAGATAAAGCTCCGAAAGATCATTACCATAAACAACCCTGAGTAATTGTGGTGTGAAACGCTTTGTTGTTTTAAGCGGTGCTCACTTTAATCTGTAGAAACGGAAGTTTAGTGCTTGTCAATTGTCCTGTCATGATAATTTAAAAACTAATTAATTATTGCGCTCTTTTAAACAGTACAAGGAGCAGTCATAGACCAAAAGAAACAGACAAGCACCAATTCAGTTTTCGTGCAATATATTCAAAGTCTTATAAGATAATAAACATTATACACAATAGAAGATTGTGACTCTCAGAATCGGATCGGATCGGATCGTGAGGTGCCTAAAGCTTCCCACCATTAGTGTGCTGTAAGGATGAAGTTAACAGCCCCAGATGTGACTATTACACACCTGGCCAGTTCCATGAACACCAGATGCTCCCGCAGAGACACCATCGCCGTTTTCCTCATATCCACTAACAGCGTGTCTCCGTCCTCACCGAACACCTGCATCTCCACAGCCTCAGTGCCCAGCAGTCTTCTCATCTCGTCACTTGCCTCTGAAGTCCACCCATTCACCTGATACACATAAAACACAAACAACTCATCACTTTCCATGTCTTCTCAGTTATCAATTGTGCCTGGACACAAGCCACGTTCAAACACTTAATATTCTCTAATAACATCTATAAAACAGAAATAGATATGAAACAAAAGTTTTCCACCACTAGATGGAACCCATAACTTCCTGTGGTTGAAATGTGAGAAAACTTGTTTTAACATGTATTTTGTGCACTCAATAACAACACTGATAACTGGTTGTGTTGTTAGAGTCAGTGTTGGGCAAGTTACTTTTAAAAAGTAATTAGTTACAGTTACTAGTTACTACTTCCAAAAAGTAACTAAATTAGTTACTCAGTTACAAATTTTAAAAGTAACTAGTTACTTAAGAAAGTAACTATTGCGTTACTTTCAAGTAAAATTAAATTTTAAATGCTCAAATGTGACCCCACCTCTACCCCTCTTTAACGGAACTTACAATACATGTGCATGTTCAATTATTTATGATAAATCTGAATATTATAATGAAATGGACACTTATTACAATACATTATTAACAGAAACATGAAACATTGTACACACATCTAAAAAAAAAAATGTTGCTGTGGGACTAGCCTCCAATCAAATGCCATGTAGATATTATGTTTATATAGTGGATCAATGCAAATAACACAATAGATGTTTTGGAACTTTTGATATTTATTGCCCCTCAACAGGCCACAACTGGGCAAAATTAAATTAAGCTTGTTAAGCTCGTCGCCATACCTGTCTCTCGTTGACTGACTGGCTTGCTTGTGTTGTTCATTGTGTGTCCTGTCCTGTCCGACTATGCGTTATGATGGGTCGTTCGCAATTCATGAGCGTTAGCCGTTAGTGATGATGGATCGACTCGTTCGCGAATGAGCTTTTGATGGGTCGTTCGCGATTCGCGAATGAGCCGACTCTAAGAGCCGGCTCTTTTAGGTGAACGTCGGGAGCTGGCTCGCATATCTGAAGAGCCGACTCTATTTTTATAAATTTAGCCTATAGAAATTAAATAATTATGTAATAAAAATTTAAATATTATAGTCAAAGTCATTTAAAGAGCCGTTTGTGAGCCAAAAGAGCCGGCTCTTTTCAGTGAGCTGAGTCAAAAGTGCCGAATGCCTACTACTATGCGTGCTTTCGAACACCCGCCCAACTCTACCTCTGATTGGCTTACAATGACATTTTACTCTACCTCAGTCGTCAGCATTTATGCGCTTGTCTCGTGCTCTACCCACTAACCAAGGAAGAACAGTAAAAAAAGTATTTGCCTCTCGCTCAGAGATCTAGTTGGTCTGATGAAAAAAAAAACCCAGCTTCATCAGTTATAGTAACGCGCCGCATTTTTTGGCAGTAACGGGAACGGCGTTATTAAGATGAGAAGAGTAATCAATTAGATTACTCGTTACTGGAAAAAGTAATGCCGTTATTTATAACGCCGTTATTCCCATCACTGGTTAGAGTAAATACATCTCCACAGCTCTTACCAAGTCCGAAGGAATGATATCTTGAAGGGAACATTTGATGGCCAGAGGAGCCCAGCCGTTTATTTCCATTAGAGCAGATGCATCAGGTCTCCGCAGACACTCATTCAACGAGCTTAAACCTCCATCACTAAAACACACAAACAGAAAACATGATTTGCAAACAGATCAATCTCAGTCAAATCTAATGCCATGAGCAGATTCACTATTTGAAGATACAACAACGTTCAGGTCCAGATCCAGAAATGCACACAACTAACAAATAAAGAGGATTTTGAGCCTTTAAAAATGACAACAAGGGCTGTTGCGGTGAAGGAATTTACCCTGTGGTAATTTTGAGTGGCTCAATAGTGCAATACGCAGTATTATCACCATTTATTTAGTTTTAGATGTATTTATATTTATTAGGGGTGTAACGATACTAGTGCTGCCACTAACGACTAATTTTCTAACGACTAATTTTTCGATTAGTCGACTAGTCTAAACGACTAATTTAAAAAAAAAATTGTTTGTCATTTCGTTGTGTCCATTTCATTTTGAACTCAACTGAAGGGCCAAAATATAAAATGTCACCTATTGAAAAACATTATGTATTAACAATCTAAGCATAAGTATCTGCATTTCCATTAGGCTATACCATATTAGTCAGAGTCCTAATCTAATCCTCTATTAACAAACATGCATGTATTCATTACTTAAATTAGCTCTTTGTTCTGCCTTAAATGAATACATTAGCTTACTGAACATTTTTATATGTACATTTCTGAAATGCATAACTGATAACATCACTCTGAATTGTAGGCTAAAGTAGATGCAATGCATCCATTTTAGGTAAAGCTGCTTTGAAACAATATGTATTGTGAAAAGCGCTATACAAATAAATTGGAATTGAACTGAAAGAGTCTGGACTAGCCTATACGCTTAGCTCTGCCTCATAATGAATCGCGCTGAAAGCAGGCAGGCACGCAGCTATGCAGCTTGCGTTTACACTTGCGTGCATGCCGGGCCCGTGCAGCGGTTCGCGTGAATGTGAAAGCAACACGGACTCCGGTGCGCGTTTTAGCTGATTATGTATTTAGTTAAATAAAACGCATGTAAGGGATGATAGTGTTGATGATTTACCTTGGATACGAGCGAGAGTGAGTCTGCAGTGTATTCAACAAATTTGGAAAAGAGTCTCCTCAAACAATCGCGCTCGGGCAGCAGCAAACGAGCCCAGTGTGAAAGCACCGTCACCTGCCTCCGCAATTTTTCATATCAAAGCAGTGAAGGCAGGGGAGGGGGAAGGAAGAGGATGGCAGATTAACCAGCAGGGCGCGCGCAGCGCACAGACTGGTGTGTGGAGGTGAATTACAGTGAGCCGTTTGAGATGGGAGACCAAAAATAAATATGCGGTCAATAGTAAAACGACGCGTCGACTAAAAAAAAATTGGTGTCGACTAGTTTGCATGGTCGATTATGTCGACTAATCGCGGCAACACTAAACGATACACGTATTCGTATTGAATTGTTGGACCAATTTTCCTGCCGACCAAAAATGTCGTTATTTCTAAAGTAAGCGCGCTCATAATGTAAGAGACGCTGACGTGACCACAACATTGCCCAACAACAAATGGCAAATGTAATGTAATCGGAACGAAACTGAGCTACTCGTTATTGTGTGGTTGACGGACCGTTTATCAGTTTGGACCAATGCAGCGCGAGCCGATCTTAATCAAGCAGCACTGTTACTACACAGCGAAATCCAGTAAAGAAAAAAATTTGAATTCGCCAGTGAAGTAATAACATCGCTGCGAGATCTAGTGAGAAACATTCACATTTCTCCGTTATTAACATATCAAACAGCGCTGATGTGGAAACCAGGAAGAAACATTGTGCCATGAATGAACTATTCAGTGTCCACAGATCAGCAACATTCACCATGGATGTACTGTAGTAACACTACTAACAGTAACCATGGAAGTTTGGCAAGAATAGTAGGCTATAATGCTTTCAAGTAACATTACGTCGGTTTTATTTTGACATTATGAATACAATTGCTGCCCTCAAATGTTAATCTGAAATAAAATAAACCTTTGTTTATAACTACTACAATATTACATTTCATTTTGTCCAAGGAGCGGTTTTGTTTTATATGCTCCTAAGAAAAGTCAAGTATAGCTCTATCATTGCTCAAAAGTAAAAAAAATATCATACTTTATGATGTTAGTTTTAATAAAAATATTCGAACCGAACCGTGAATTTTGTTAACCGTTACACCCCTAATATTTATGGCTATATAAATAAATGTTACAATTAGGGATGCACAGAATGTTCAGCAACCGAAATTATTCGGCCGAAAATATAAAAAAAAGAATAAGTGAAAAGGCCAAATAAATTTTACTGAACAATGACGTTTTTGATTGTCAAGGGGTGCATCTGCAAAATCTTACAGCACTATTTAGTGTAGGCCTAATTCAAGTCAGCGAGGAGATCAAGTTAGAGACGCGTGTGTTTAATGAGAATATTCAAAAAGAGTATCAAATTATTAATTATGCGCAGTAAGTTGTGAAAAAATAAATCTAATGTTGCATCGGGCTGAATGACGCGCCCCAGAAGCGCTCTCTCAGACAGCGCACGATTCCGAATTCACTTCTCCTTGCGCCTGAATGGTGAAATACTGACACACAGGTGTCAGTCAAACTGCCCATCATGTGGAGTATCTCGCGTAAATACAGTCGGTTGTGGCTTAACCGCTCGGTGAAAACCGGATATGTGTCAGTATACTGTATTACCGGTAGATCCAAGCATTGGTCTTAAAATGACAGCAGCCTTAAATACCTGTCTGTGTCATATTAATGTTAACCCCCTGGGGTCGGCTATCGCGCCGGCGCGATTGTCTCTCTTTTTTTCTTATCAGTGCAAAAGAGACTCAAATAACTCTGTCGATTTTTGTGATACAGGCAAGTGTTATAGATCATTCAAAACTGTTAAATGTCTACTTTTATTTGTGTACACTAATAATAAAAACAAAATGTTGTGTTTTTCGTAAAATAAAGAAAATAAACATGATGTGTGTTCTGTCGTCTCTCTCAATGTGAAGTTCATTCTGAAACGCGATAGAAAATCATCTTTAACTCAGCAAATACTTGCTACCCACACGTGAGAGTTATGTCTTTACAAAGCTTTAAGTCTCCATTTTTAAATGATGTAAATCATACCAAAAACAAATATTCTCTGTTTAAGTAATCCGTATGAAAGGAACGACATGTACAGTTTCTTCAGCCTGAGCTCATTGACTCTAATGTGACCACGCCCACACGCGCGTGAGCTGTTCAAATGCAAATGATCCACGTGAAGGAACGCAAACGCCCTCATCACCTCTAAACAAAGAATCCAAACTTGATGAAAAGCAGAGCAGGACTGAAGTGTTTGGTCTGTGCACCTTTGATTTGCCTCAGAATAATTAGAAGAACACGATTTGATTATGAGAACGATTTTTAAGGTAAGACACATAATAAGCGTCTTATGGTTGTATATACTTTACATTGTAGCTACTAGTTAAACTGGTGCCAGACTAAAATGTTATGAAATGAGATTGGAGTGAATATACATGTACACACAAGAATGTTTTTATCTTCGATAATTAACCCTCTGGGGTCTGAGGTGTTTTTGGGGTCCTTGAGATGTTTTGACATGCCCTGACATTTGTGCTTATTTCAGCTACTTAAAACATACCATTTGCCAACATTTAAATTTGCTGTATTCAGCACAAACTCTGCTACAATAATATGTAAGCAAAATGGATGTACATGTTTGCATTTTATAGAAAAAAAATATTATGCGTGGTTAGTACGTTTTGGGAAAAACAATGTCACCGCAATAAGGCCATTTAACACATACTGAATGTTGTCCACGCAGGGATTAAAGTGAAAAAAATTCTTCTGTCTATTTAAATATTCGAGACCAATAGCGTTTTAAGGGAAGATGTTTAAAACCGATCTAATATTGAGTAATTTAAAAGCTATTTTAATCTATGAAAAACAATTACTTATCTTGACAAATAATCAACCATCTACATAACTTTTCAGTGCATGTTTTTATTTATCTTATGAGACCAAACAATGCTAAACTATATTAATATATAGTTTGTGCCATGGCAAATTGTTTTGGCTGAGGGCAAAGTGAAGTTTTATAACTTTATTATGTAGGCTATATTTAACTTTAACTTTGTAGCCTATTACAGAGCTGACTTATGTTTAATTGAAATGTTTGCTTTATTTCTCATTGTATAGCTTATTATAGCCTACCTATTAGGCTACTACTTTTGAACGGGATATTAGCATTAAAACTGACATTTAACAAAAAAGAGACATGGTTGTGTAATTTTATATATTCTAAAATATATAAAATATTATATTACTATGCATTCTCTTCACTGTATGTGTACGCATAATACAATAAAACGATACAACCCTGTCTGTTTGTTAAATGTCAGTTTTAATGATAAATAATGTTTCATATTTTTAAAATGAAAACAAAAAGAAGCAGGTTTGTGTTTTAGCTATATTTCGTGTTGTTATAACTATATGATAAATCAATGTGCGTTGCCTGAACCACATTTGTGTGGCCATTTATATGTTTATGATAATAATTATGTTCATTTATAAAAGAAAAGAGGCACAGTGGTGTTGATGAAAAAAGGCAGAGTTGATAACCGGAGTAGCCGCGTGCTGAGTGACGCGATCAAGAACGCGCTGTTAGCAGCGTCCTCTCGTCCTCGGGAGTTTGTTCTCCTGAGTCGAACTTGGCAAGTCCGAACTACCAAGGACGCAAGTCCGAAGTTTGCGTACTTGGTATTGAGAAACGACCAATATTGACCCGCGTTCTGTTTTCTATCATGGGACCGCAGCAAACGAGCTGTAGCCTCGCCTGACAAGATTGAGTGAACAGGGTCCAGGGAGCAGTTTTTCCGTGAGCGGGAATTGAAAAACCGGAGTGGACCATGAGCAAAGTGATTACAGAATGCTTAGAGTGGAGAGAGGAACGTGCTTTTGCTCCACTCCAGGCTTTATCACATCCCCCCTCAGCAGGGTGAATACGCATCATCTTTCCTTAATTTAAGACCTATTCAAACTAAAATTAAGACAT